AACCCCCCCCCCCCACCCCCCCCCCCCCCCCCCCCCCCCCCCCCCCCCCCCGCCCCCCCCCCCCCGCGATATGGGTGCGCAATAGGTCCGACAATCACAAATGTATATATGCACTCGATCAGATGTGTATACTGAGATTAGGCTCGATGTTCGGAGGTTTGGAGATTTCAAAAATACAAGTTGAGGCGCGAGAGGGGAGGATCAGCAAGGGAAATGATGTCTGGGGTAAACGTTCGAGCGGAGAAGAGACCGCGTGCCTGGCGGGGACCGGCTTAACTCCGGCTGAGCCGGCCATGTGCCTGACTAAGTATTATAGTCAATTGAGGTACATAACTAGTTAACTAACTAACTCTTGAGATCCTTATACATTTATTTGCACATTGAACTATGGGGTATAGAATATGAACGAAGACCCTAATTTCCGCTACCAACTCGGCGCCAGATCATCACCGCGGCGGCACCGGCACAAACCACCGCCCCGAGGGCGATTCCCCAAGACATCCATTTGCCCTCCACATCCTCTTCACTACGCGGGAAAGCGGTGCTAGGCTCCATGGCAGCCTCGGCAATATGGACAAACACCTCCTGGATAGAATTCCACGTAACACTCACATGGAGCGGTGGACTAGGCATGTTTAGCATAGCTGTGTATTCATGAGGTTGGTGCTCGGCTCGCTGGGTGGTCCGATCCAGATCGGCCTTGAGCGCAATGAACACACTCGGGAGCTCTTCCAGATGGGGATATTTCGCCAACAATGCAGGAATGTACGAAAATGAGTCCGGGTCCGAGGAATCATACGTGTACGCAATCACGTCACACTGGTCCAGCAGTTTGGTCTGGTTCTCCAGCAAAGCAGGCTCGAGCTCACCTAGTTCATCCAAAATCAGGTAGCACTGTTTCCCGCCCGGAAGCTCCACTGTATTCACTGCGGTACGTGGCTGGATGGTAGGGTGGTAGGTCGTGCTGAATCCACGGGAAAGAAGTGCATCGAGCAAGGCCGATTTTCCGGATCCAGGGGCTCCCAGAACGTGGCATTGGACAACGTTTCGTCCAACACGGCCGGGGCGGCGACGTTTTCTTCGTGGCCGTGTGACCTTCAACGCTGCAGTGATAGACTGATCACTTTGGTCGGAGGGCTCAAAGCCCAGGTATGCCAAGTATTCGAGGGTAGTTTTAGGAGACAGGAAAGTAGTCATGCTCCACTGAGCAAGCCAGCCTTGCAGTGTTACATGTCCTGCTTCATTGCGGACTGTAGAGGATGGGAACGAACCGTCGGCCCATGATGCGGGCAAGCCCGGGGTGGGGGCAAACAAGGATGCAAGTTCAGCCTCATTCAAGCCCCCGTCATTGTCCTTATCGGATAAAAGAAAGAGGTTCACAAAGAATCGATATCCTTCGGGCGAGAGTTCGGCAGAGGCGAACGGCGGTACTTCGAACTTTGGATGCAAGAATTTCTCCTGCAAGGAGAGATTGTCCGTGTACTGGAACGCTCGCAAGATGATCCAAACTGTTTCATGTCGCCCTTTCTCCGAGTACAATTTGTTCAGATGAATAAACCCTTGGCAGTCAATGCCGGACTCCGTAACTGAGTCAGGATAGGCTTTCTGAATGGTGTCCTTGATATGATTGAGATCCGCTTCGTTCAATGGTTTGTTAAAGCAGCGGGTTTGAAAATCCTGGAGCTCCTTGTCTGATAGATATCCATCGCGATCTTTGTCGGAGAGATAGAATATCCTTTGTAGAGCTGCTACTGCAGCGGGCTTCAGAGCCGCCTCCTTCGAATCGAACAGCGGCGCGATCGGGTGCGTGACAGCCTTTTGGCAAACGAAGAACGCTTCGTTGACATTACGATGCTCCCGGGCACTCGTACGTATACATGAGTCGATTTCCTTAAACTCTGCCATCAAAGGAAGCATCTCCTCCTCAACCACTCGCGTTTCACTATGACCAGTCGCCAGGTCGGCCTTGTTGGCACACAGGACAACCGGGACATTGACACCCAACGACCGGAAATAGGGCAACCAGAACAGAGCGACTCGCTCATAGCTATAGTGGTCGGAATATACCAGAAGAATCACGTTACATTTCCGTATTTCTCGCGCGAGATTGTTCCGTTCCTGGGGAAGGGCCGAGGTGTCGACGACGGTCGTGGTCGTAACATTTTCGGGGGTCCCGAGGGTAGGAGGGATGGTGATTTGGGGGAGGACCGGTTGAATTTTGTTTGTAACAAACACGCCTTTGACGAGCGAAGTGATAAGGCTGGACTTGCCAGTGCCCTCATCGCCGCAAACGCAAATGCGAACTGGGTGAGTTGGCCTGTCAGCAGTGTTTCTAGGTGTGAGATATCCAACATACCTGATGCCATTTTCGCGTCTAGCGAGTCACGTATTTATCATAATCCAACCATGACCTTATGCTTAATTGAAGAAGTGTATGGAGATGGATAAGTTCCAAGGTCGGCCTCGGGACAATCGCGATACGATAATGGCCTTGGCGCCTGGGCATCCGCAAGTATGCTTACGATTTATACAAGAGTTATACAGCGGCTATAGTTACATGTTTCTCTACCCATCGGGAGACTGTCGCTTTGGCTAAAATATCTCTGGGTCGTTCTTCTTTTCTTCCTGATACATTGTGAATAAAACCCCAATTTGCCACAAACGACGCTCGTTTCAGCCCATAATTGCCCGTGGGATATCATGTGGTGTTTGCTCTCCAATTCACAAAGCATCTCCAACATTGTATAATACCTAGTGCATACAACATATGTATTTGATCCAGTCTCGGCGTTCTGGTACGTTGGCTTCCCACGAACCAGCGTCCTGCGTTAGCCGTCATCAGCTGGGCAGGCCCACACTGACTAACCGTTGCCCTCGAGACATCAATAGCATTCCCCCCCATTCCTCCCTCCCCAGTCGTATTTTCGATTCTACCTCGATAGTCACCAGCCAAAATGGGTTTCGGCATCCATAATCCGCTGCCGGCGTCTATGACCAGTAGGTTTCATCGATACTCAAAGCCCACTTCCCCGCAGTCGTGCGCGGCATATCCGGCTGACAGTGGATTCTCTCTCACCAGGCGAGTGCAAAAAGGCTGCAAAGATCTTGACATCGTTCGTTGATCCTAGGCAAGCATTCGGTCCCGACAAAGTCATTCCACCGGAGATTTTGGCCAATGCAAAGGTAAGACATTCATAATGCCCCGGTTGGGAACATCCGTGACTAACAAATCTTTCCCCGTAGGGTCTCGCTATTCTCACGGTTTTGAAGGCCGGTTTCCTAGGCTCTGGTCGATTCGGCTCCGGTATCGTTGTCGCTCGTCTTGGCGATGGCTCCTGGTCGGCTCCATCGGCTATTGCGACTGCAGGTGCCGGAATTGGAGGACAGATCGGGTTTGAGTTGACCGACTTTGTTTTCATTCTCAACGATGCCGCTGCTGTTCGCACATTCTCGCAAGTGGGAACGCTGACGCTGGGTGGCAATGTATCACTCGCTGCTGGACCGATTGGCCGAAATGCCGAGGCGGCTGGCGCAGCCAGTACGAAGGGTGTTGCGGCCGTCTTCTCCTACTCAAAAACCAAAGGTCTTTTCGCTGGTGTCAGTCTGGAAGGTAGTATGCTGGTGGAACGCAAGGATGCGAACGAGAAATTGTACCGCAGTCGTGTCTCCGCTAGCCAACTTCTCACAGGCAGCATTCGTCCCCCACCGGCCGCCGATGCTCTGATGCGCGTGCTGAACTCCCGTGCATTCCAAGGAAATGCGCGGGCCTACGGTGATTCCATGTACAATGACATTCCTGTCTATGACGACAGCCATGACGACGTGGTCTGGGAGGGACGCAGGGGCGATGCCTACGGTCAAGGTACCCAGCGTGGTCGGTCCAACACCAGTGAAAATGATTACAGCTACAGTGATAGGCCGCGTCGCGCGAATACCTGGGCTGATGATGTCTATGATCGGCCTGCCTCGGGGCTTTCTCGTTCCGTGACAGCTCGGGCCGCTGCTGACAATTCATTTGATGGCTATGGGCGCAACCGGAGCAACACCGCGCCATCTGAAGAGGAATATACCTATTCGGATCGCAGACCTTCCCGTCCAACTGCTCCTAAACCGATCTTCCAGCAAAGGACTGGTGCAGCCCAATTGCGGTCAGACCAAGCCGTTGCCCTTTTCACATTCGATGCGGATCAGGAGGGTGACCTTGGATTCAAGAAGGGTGAAATTATTACCATAATCAAGCGGACGGAGAAGGCGGAAGACTGGTGGACTGGTCGCATTGGTGATCGCGTGGGCATCTTCCCAAGGTAAGAACTTTTTCCTTTCACTTTCTAGAATTAATGGCTAATTCATTCGCAGCAATTATGTTGAGGCTTAAATTGATGCGGTCCATGTAGCACACACTGTGATGAACTCTTGATGCACATTTTCCCGGGACTTGATGAACATACGTCCCACCAACTCTTGCCCTACATATATCCTGGCGTATACGGATTCGTCAACCTCTTGTCTTCTCCTTTCTTTCTCTCATTCTAAGTTAAAGTTGTTGGTGCCGTTTACATTCTTCAGCGCGGAGTTTCCCGTTCTCATACTTTTTTTTTTCTCTTTCGGTTTGGGACTTGGGGATACGGTCATCGTGGATCTTTTCGGTTTTATGCAGAGCATTTCCCATCTGATTGTGATTTCCCCAAGAGTTTCTGCAGAGTTTCTTCAGAGTTTATTCCATCTATGTCTCATTGGTCTCTTCCTAGTCTCTTATGTTGAAAATACCGTTCAGCTCTGTTTGAATGGACCTGACATTTTGCGTTTGATAGGTTGATTCCAATACCATAATCATATGTACTCAAGTTTCTTACTGGTCGGGATTGCTTTGTGTTCTGGCCTGGCTTGTGCGAACATTTGCATGGCATATCCAGCTACTGTCCTCGGTCTACGGGGAATTGAATCAAGTCACACGGCATCCTATCGAATCTCAGAGATGACCCCGTCTAGTTTATATTACAGATAAAGAGATACCAAACGGCTTTGCAGTGGCCGATGTGCTTTTCTCAAATGCTTTCAACCTTTCCCGTGTCAATCTAGGCTTTTCAATCTCAGTCAAAGATGAATATAATCGGCACGAGAGAGGTGAGATTTTCAGCCCTCGAGGTACATGCTGTGTCACGGATCGAAGAAGTATATTGCAAATCAGCTCTGAAAGGTAGTACCTACTTTCTTTGGGATCCGATGTTAGAATCTGAACCAAAGAATGTATCACTGAATCAAATAGTATGGAGTCGAGAGAGAAAGGGAAGAAAGCAAGAAAAGGGAACGTGTACGATGTAGATCAACCGATCGTCCATCTACCCCCGTTTTAATGTAGGTGGAGCCAACAGTGCTCAATGAATCGATACCTACTCCGTAAAAGACCCCTAAACGATCTAAATTCAGAAGAGTAGGAAAATAGCTGTAACTTTTGATATAATAGAATTTGCATTTGGAAAGAGTTCAAGATAGTCAGGTGCCGCGGAGGTTACTCTCTCATCTGCTCTCCGCCCGCTCAACTCCCATCCTCCATTCTTCTCTTCTTTCCTTTCTTCTCCCAGATCTTCTCCACTCATGACGCTCATTCGGACTCGATAATATCCGCATGTCGAGGACGCTGCTACCGGTTCTTTGTCTCCATTCCTCTTTCCCCGCTTCGATGACCCGTTCCTCCTCGCTATCCAACGTGGTTGACACTGCCCCCTCCTCTTAAGCTTCCGCCCTTCGGGCTCCGTCTTTGGCGTCTTTTGGTTCCTGTACCACTGGCTTTCCATGCAGGTGCGTCGCTTTCTCGGTCCTTGGTATTTAGTTCATGTGGGCGTGACTTTTTTGTTGATACCCCCCTCAACCTCGAACCCCTCAAGCACAACTACAATCACATTCTTGTGGAATTGGACCCCTTCCCATGGACTCTGAGAATTGGATCTTGACTCTAAACTGGCGCATTCTTGATTCTAATGATATTTGCACCTGTTTAGGCTTCCACAAGTCCCCACGAGGCTGGCGGGCATGCGACGCGGAGAGGCCATGCCACCCATCTATCGATTAGCGATCCAAGCCATCATGTGACGGAAGCTATCGGACATATGTACGACGACGACTACGATCGTAATGATCCGAGGCGCCTGAGTTATATAACAACCCCCCTCGGCGAGTCAATAACAACCATCCCGCGCGCCGCCGCAGGGTCTGAGTCTCCTCTTTCCCCGTCCTCGCCACTGCATCAATCCACGTCAGATGGGCAACCGACACAGACAAATGGAAACCAACGGCCACCGCTTGTCACAAATCGATCTTATGACCGAGAAAGTGATCCGGGGAATGCCGATGGTACTCGTTTGCCCTCGGACACTGCAACGTCCTCTTTTCCTCTCAACGATATCGACTACGAATCCAACCCTGCGGCCGTCGCTCAGGAACTCAACAATCTCGCCGCGATTCGGCGCATGTCAATGGATGTGGCTGCCGCCGGTGACCCTGACCTCCCAGGCTTCGCACCACCGCCCTCGCCCTCCGCCGACGAAGATGACGCCTCTCGGTTATTTTGGGTTCCTGCGCGACTGCATCCAGAACTGGCGCCGAAAGAATTCAAGTCGTTTCTCGACAGCAAGGCCGACCTCATAAAGCGCAGATCCGGCGATTCTTCGACCTTAGGGGCCGAACGTCAAGGGTCGGGAGGTGGTCTTAATCGCAAACGCTCTATGTTATCGAGACAAATCGACAATTCGGCGGGTTATACAGATGGTGCAGATCGGTTGGAACATCAACGCTCCCAATCAAATAAGCAAGGTGGGATGTTGAGTCCCAACTTGCAGCAGTTGGAAAGCTTGGTGGATGATTCGCAAGTGGTGGCCAAAGAATCACTCTTGCGCGGCATGCGGAATATTGCCATTGCAGGAAACGAGGACAGGCCGATCCTGCCTCCCGCACCTCCGGGAAACAGCCTACGCCGGTCGACTCGGACACAATATAAGAAAGGCAGTTTGAAAAAGGGCGAAAAGTTGCCCTATTCTAAACGAGTCGGACGGGGGGTATCTGAATCTGCGGGGAGTGATACCAGATCTGCAGGTGTTCGCTCACCTCAAGATCCCGCAAGTCTGGAGCTCACCGGTGTCTCCACTGGTTCTAATCCCAAAACGACGCGAGCGGCTCGAGCTACCTCTGCCTCATCGCATGGCTCAGCTTATGCACCAAGCTCAACCACGAGTTCTCAATTCGATTCGATTGTCGATCAGCCTGAGGCCGAGCAGGAAGCCTTGTCGACCTCTGGTGGGCATCCGGATGCTGATCTGGATCGATCCGATTCGGGAGATCCGACCAATACACGGAAATGGCATTCTCGTATCAGCTCGAATGGCCGATCTACCTTGAACATAGCTCCAGGCGAGCAGAAGATCCCTGCAATAATTGAAACACCTCCCGCCACTGAACCCGACCGCATACCAAGTCCGCCTTCACAAAGTAGGCAGTCATCGGATCATGCCACGGCATCTACAACCCCATCGCCATCGAAATCCACATCTTCGCAGGACCCGATACCGAAACGTCCCAAGAACCCTCGCCTACCACCCCACGAACCCGCATCTTCACTCAATGACATCGCCAATAACCCTCAGATGATACCTGGCAACAGTACCCGCACTGACAGTCTTTCATTCATACCCACCATCTCAGAAGAACGCAAACCCGATGAACGCAAGCCTGAAGAACGCAAACCTGAAGAACGCAAATCCGAGAGCAAGAAATCAAAAGACAAGAAGGAATCTGATGGTAGCCGCAAGTCTAGCTGGCACTGGTTGTTGGGCAGCGAAGAAAAAGACAAGAAAAAAGACAAGGACGCCGACTCGAAAAAGACTAAATCAAAGACTGTCGACAAAACGCATGATAACACACGTCTAGATGTTTTACAATCATCTATCGAGAGCACTCCGCGGGGACGGGAAAGTGTTGTCTTGGACCGCCTTGATCCGAAGGTTGATGAAGATCGACGCAAAGACAACGTGAGGAGGGTATCGGGAGAATCAAAGAAAGAAAAGGATGGTATTTTCTCTTCTATTTTCGGCGGTGGGCGAAAGAAACACAGTAATGAAGGCCACCACCGAAAACATTCGTCACGAAACATTTCTCCTGATCCTCCGATGCGAGTACTTCGCGCCGACGTCGATTATCCGTGGTCTCGCTTCTCAATTTTGGAGGAGCGAGCTATTTACCGGATGGCGCATATCAAGCTTGCGAATCCCCGGCGAGCTCTGTACTCTCAAGTGTTGCTGAGCAACTTCATGTACTCATACCTGGCCAAGGTACAGCAGATGCACCCGCAGATGCCAGTTGTTTCATCTGGATCATCCCAGAGATCATCAAAATCAAGGGATCAGCCAGATGAGTATGCGCAATATCAGCGATACCAAGAGGTAGGCGAAGATGCCCCTTGTCCTAGGGGAAAGCAAGATTGCTAACAGCCTCGCACAGTCTCAGGACCAACAACACTACGGAGAAAGTGCCTATGACGACTCTTCCATGTACGACTATGATGACGATTCGCATGATCGCTACGGTAGCCATTCGAGGAGCGACAAGCAGGGCTATGAAAATGGCCAAGCTTATGGCCCAGGTCACCAATACGGAAACACGTCCTTTGGCGACGACGTCCAACTCGATGACGACGATGACGATGATATGTGGTGATCTGGGGCTGGCATCCTCACTCGTTTTCTTTCTATTTCACTTCTGCTTTCTCGTTTCTAGCAGCTCACGGAAATACCCATGCTTTTTGTCGGTTCAGGATGTTCCTAGGAGATGTACACTCAAGCCGCGTTCTCCCATTTTCATGCATTACCCATATCCTTCCAAATGTTCTTCATAATTCCCCGTGTACCAATTCTCAAGGGGGCTCGTATCGTTATGCACTCATCGGCATCTAGCAACAGGGAAGGTGAAATGCGGCTTTGGCGGAGGGTTTCCTCTTTGTTTGATTCCTGCGTCTTTTTTTTTGGCTCGGTGGTCATCTGGCACTAAGGAGTGCAGTATGTATATCTGGCCCAATGTGTGGGCCTGGTGTTCGGGCACAAGCCCTGATTTATCTCTTCGCATAGCGTCTGGGGTTTTCCTTTTTCTCTCCCTCTTTGGTACACTACACGATTATACCTTGTCTGTATTTCATTAATTTTTTTTTTCTTTTCCAACGCTTAACATCCCCACATGAATGAATCACAGCCTGTTCCAAACATAATCTTAGTTCGTCCTTGTGCCTACGTAGATATACTATCAATATTACTCTGACTTGGATTCATATTCCTTAAAGCTTAGGATATTGGGAAGGAACGTCATATTGAAGGTTGAAAACCCCAATTCCTACATACAGAATAGAACGACTCTCTTCACACATATCCAGGGATCGACCGGTGAGTGATATCAAATCATTCTAGACGAAAAAGAATACATATCGCCAGCATTTTGGTAATTATAGGGATGGATGAACAGCAGACTCTATGACAATGGAGTGTGTACTTTACATGGTTAAGAAACATTCGTAGAGCTTACAGAGGTAGATATTACAATATATGCACAAGTATAGATTTCGGCGGATAGGATGGAACAAGTACATGTTGTTAGGTAGCAGTTTCTAGATTGTATGAAAAGCAACCCTCCGCTCAGTTCTGTTTTGAGGCTTAGCCACGCCATTCAAAACTCTCGCCCGAGCACGTGATCTATATACACGTGCCATTTCTTACCCCACCCACGTGATACTAGAACGTGACTTGTCGTATGGCTCTGTGATTCGTTCCCCCATCTTCATTACTTCCGGGCCGCATCGATCTCTATCTCTAGGTATCTTATCGCAAAGCTATTAAGATCACGGAAAAAAAGCCACTTTTCACCTTCATCACTCCCCTAACGCCTTTTACAATTATCCAACCTCGCAGTCCTTCATAGGGAATGACAATATTACATCCAATACCACTGCAACTAAGTCCATGATCACAGCCATGGGGGACTGTGGCGATGAGCTCTTCAAGGTACGTCGCGTCCCACCGATTCACGCACAGTGTAGGCATAGCGTGATGTACTAGTCACTTGTCACGCTCTGCTCTAATGCCCATTTCTTTATTAGGAGCTTGAAAGCACCTACTGTCCACCAATTGATCCTGCATTGTTTGTTGCGATCGTATCGGACTTTGACCTGGCGATCCCCACTCAGGTCGAACAGTTGCGCGAAACCCTAAACTTGCTGAACGCATCTGCTGTTGAGCAAGCAGACTTGCCATTTGACCCCACAGGCACAACGAACCTCCGGAACTCTGACGTTTCAGGCTCTTTGGGCGGCGAATCGTCTGACGACGCACCATCGGATTTCACAAGCTGGCCATCGCTCGAAAGTCTTGACCAGGACAATGGTGACTCCAATAGTGCTAGTCGCCATGCCGAAAAGCTCAAAGGCTCTAAGCTTGCATACACCTTTCTGGGCATGTCAACTGCTGACAAGGCACAAAACTTGATTAGCATGTTCCCAAGTATTACTCGTCTGGAAGCCGAGCGCATCCTAGAAGATTGTCATGACAACCTCAGTCGTTCGATGGATGTTTTGCTCAATCTTGCTTTCATCGAAGAGACACAAATTGCCAGAGAAGTTCCTCAAGAAACCCCCAAAGAGGCTGCTCAAGGCGGTCAATTCTCCACTCCCAAGTCAATCGATGGCTTCCAGGCCAACGAGAACCAGAACGGCAGTAAGAAATCTCGAAAGAAGAAAAAGCAGCAACAACAACGTCGAATCGAACTGGCATCCCAGGCCATGAACAACACCTCTGCCAATAAATGGGAGGCAGGAAAGAAGGATATCGAGTTTCTTTCCTCGCGGGCCAGCGCTTTGCAAAGGGAGAAAATCGCATCGACTTATCATGAAAACTCCATGTCACTCGGTGCGACGATCAGAGTCTTGGCACAGATCCATGGGCCCAAGGACATCCAGGAGATTGAAGACGATCCTGTACTCATTACACAAGTGGGGGAGCTCAGTCACAAGTACCCCGGCATCAATGCCACCACTCTAACAGGCTTGGTTCGGATATCAAGCAATCAGATCTCAGCCGCAGATGAACTGGCTGAAAAGTTGGCCCGTCGCCCTGATCTCACTTGCATTTCAAATATCATCAGTTTCGTTTCGTCGCCAATCGCACTCGACGAGGAGGAAAACGTGGCGCCAGCCCAGCAGGCAGATTCTGCTTCGGATTTCATGGAGTTTGATGAAGCTGCCGCCGCTGCCAACTCTCACTTCGCAGCCCGATCAGTTGCCCTCGCCCAAGCATCCCAAGCCGCCCGCCGCGCACGCTCAAACCCGCTGTACGGCGGCGCTTCCGCCTATTACCGGGACGTTGGAAACGAGCAACGTCAGCTTGCCATGCGTCATTTGGCAACAGCTTCTGACCGGCTGGTGGCCCGCCAGTCGTCGCAATATGACCTAGATCTGCATGGTGTGACGGTCGTCAACGCGGTCAGGATTGCTCGCGAGAGAGTCCAGGCGTGGTGGGACGGACTAGGAGATCAGAAGTACGTTCGTGGCGGAGGCCAGAGCTCCCACGGCGGGTTCAACATTGTGTGCGGTGTTGGTCACCACTCCCTCGACCGCAAGTCACATATTGGACCCGCCGTGTGGAACATGCTGCTGAAGGAGGGGTGGCGTGTGGAGCTCAACCGGGGCTCCATGTTGGTGACCGGCGTGAATCGCCGTTGACTTTTCTTTGACTTGTTTTCTTCTCCATTTTCTTCAATATTGTTCATATGTCAGATTTTGTTGTTAAGATACCCCTGCACTGCCGGAGTTTTCCCAGGTGGGACCTGGGGCTGTTTAATCAAACATTTTTTTTTTTTCAGAAAGAAATCATCGGGTTTAGAACAGCGTAGCCTACGAGCTATATAAAAATCTATTCGCCCTATAAATCTTGTACAGCGATATCAGTCTAGGCCTCAAGGAGTCCCCGAACCGTCTCCCCGCATGATGACGTAAATGCACCCAGTTCACCCAACTAGTTAGGCCATATAGGATTAGCTTCACCCCACTCTCATCTCTGCATCAATTGCCGGTCACTAGAAATTCTTCTCATTTCCCCATCAACTCGTCTCTATGCGATCTCACCTATCTCGTAGTCTTATTTCGCCCCTCAAACGACAGACTATCCCCACCCGACCTGCACCACCATTTTGCTTCTCCCGATTTTTGTCCTCAACGCGCAAGCCTCCTCATTCGAAGACGAGCACCAGGATTCTTAGGGCTGCACCGACCATTCCATTCTTCGGTGCCTTCTTCAGCTCCAACCCCAGCCCCGAGAAAGCAACCGAAGCCATGTCGCCACCCGACCAGAGGAGCGAAGCCGAGTGGAGAGCTGTTTTGAACCCAGGTTTGCACACCATGGAGTTTCAACTCCTACGCAATATACGGTTGATATTTGCTTACGAGAATGGCTACAGAACAATTTCGTATTCTCCGTGAAAAGGGTACCGAGCGTGCTGGTACTGGTGAATACGATTCCCACTATCCGTCCAAAGGCGTCTACAATTGCGCTGGTTGCAATGCGCCGCTTTACACTGCCGACCACAAGTTCAAATCTGGCTGTGGTTGGCCAGCATACTTTGATTCCATCCCTGGTGCTGTGACTAGGCATGTTGATAGCACATTCGGCATGAAGCGGACAGAGATCGTGTGTAGCAACTGTGGGGGTCACCTTGGCCATGTATTCGAGGGTGAGGGGTATCCGACTCCCACGGACGAGCGTCATTGTGTGAATAGTGTTAGTCTGCGATTTACAGAAGATGCCGGTGCAGCTAAGGACCCTCAGGCGAAGGTCTAAGGGATTTTCATGACTTTTAATCATCATTCGGTTTGCGGGGACTAAGGCTGCAGAATAGCCGGCATGCATGATACGGGGGAGAGGCGTCATTTGAGTGGACCAACCATCTTTGTAGAGCTTAATTCAGTGAAAATCAAATATAATACAATATACAATGTACTTTATCTTTCCAAATATCTACTCTTATCGGCCAATGACCTCATGTTACCTTATACCAAACTGCGTGACTGGCATTTTCCCTCATCCGTATACACCCCGATAGCCTTAGGCCGCAACCGTGCCGACCGCCACCTAAGAATAATTAGGTGGCTCTCATTGTTTCCCTATCCCTTTTTCACCATCGATTCTTGAGTTGTTACTATTATGTCGTCTCGACGTCCTACCCCAGGCCAAGCCGCCCAAAACACGCAGGCAATCAAGACTTTGCTGAAACTCGAGCACAACAAGATATGTGCCGACTGTAAACGGAACAAGCGTGAGTGGTTTCCGATCCCCTCCTGAAATTGCGCCCTACGCTGGCTTCATATCCGAGGATATTTCTTGGCGCTCATATACTGAATTGTCTTCCGAATAGATCCGCGATGGGCTTCCTGGAACCTGGGTGTCTTTGTTTGCATTCGGTGCTCGGGCATTCACCGGGGTATGGGCACGCATATCAGCCGAGTCAAATCCGTGGATCTCGATTCGTGGACCGATGAACAACTTCAGAGTGTTGTGAGATGGGGCAATGGAAGAGCCAACAAGTTCGTCGCAACCAATTGACCGACCACGTTGGGCATGGGCTAATAGGATGCAGATACTGGGAAGCAAAGCTGGCACCCGGCCACGTTCCCTCCGATGCGTAAGGGCATTCTAATGGTACTCGTTGTGTGGTGGTGTTTTCTGACAATTTTTGTGAATAGGAAAATCGAAAACTTCATCCGGACAAAGTACGAAAGCAAGCGATGGGTAATGGACGGTGGGATTCCGGACCCCTCAACTCTAGATGACGGCGATGACGATGTGGTGAGTGATTGCATGATAAACCATCTTGTCAGCAGTAACCACTGACTTGCTAGCCTCTTGCGGTTGTACAGGAGAAAGCAAAAATTGAACGTTCCGCTTCGCAAAGAGCCGCCGCTGCCAGTCAGCCCCCGGTACACCGTCAACAAGCCTCGATTGATTTGTTCGGCGATGATATCTCTCCTCCGAATCGCCCTAGCACAACCGAACCTGCTCCGCGTCTGCCACCTAGACAAGCACAGCCCGCACCAGCCAAAATTCACAAACCCAATGATTCATTGCTAGGTCTTGACTTCTTCGGTAGCACCCAGCCTTCTACTGGTAGTCGCCCGTCTAGCACAACATCCACACCAGCAACACCAGCCGGAATGTCTCGGCCAGACCTTAAACAGTCAATCTTGTCATTGTACTCGAAGCCGCAGCCGGCATCAACCGTGCAGCACCAGCGGGGCAACTCCTTCGGCGACATGGCCTCCCCTCCTGCCCCCTCCGCTTCGTCTCACATGGGCGGTCTTACGGACGCCTTCAGTGGACTGAGCTTCCCGACCACTACTTCTCCTCCACTCGCCAAACCGGCTGAGAAGCCATCGGCATTCTCTAATCTCTCATCCTTCGGCGGCGCCAAGTCGACCCCTGCTGCCCCGAAGGTTACATCACCCTCGGGTTCTACGGGCGACTTCTTCGATAGCTTCACTTCCGCAACCGTGTCAGCCCCGAAGTCTCAGTCCCGAACAACTTCCATCTCCAGTGGGCAAGATTTCGGATTCGGTGGATTTACTTCTCCAACTGTTAAGCCTAACCCTCCATCATCGTCCCTGTCAAATGACTTGTTCGGATTTTCTTCGCCTACTACAAAAGCCTCAACGGTCCCACCCCCGAAGCCTACTGCAACCTCTCCTCGGCAGGAAATGAGATCTGCGTTTAATATTTCTGCTCCCCCAATGCAGCCTCCTGCCCCCTTGAAAGCGCCAGCCACCAGCGCTGCGAACGCAGCAGCAGCCAGCATGATGTCTGGAAGCTTTGATCCATGGGGCGGGAACGCGTGGAGCACACCTGATCATGCCTCATCGCATCATGCCGTACCCTCGCCTGCATCTATGATGAAGGTACCAGATACCTTGACTCCGAACGACGTGGGCCACGGCTGGGGCGCACCCAGTGCTGCTGCTTCTAAGCCTGCACCCACTGTGGCTGCGGACGAGGACTTCGGCGGCTGGGCCAGCGCTGCCCCGGTCTCCCACCCTACCTCTACAAGCACAAATAACAAGTCTAGTGGATTTGGCGGATCTGACGACCTCTTTTCCAACGTTTGGGAGTAGAGTATATCTTCTTTGCAACCAATCTAAGGTCTACCACTATATTGAATTTCTAGGATTTGCACGAGGACAGCTGCGTATTTGCAAGCATGATTGCACATACCGGTGCTAATCGTTTTCAATATCCTTTCCTAGAATTATTTCCTCTTTTTTCTCTTCTTCCCTTTTATATCTTCCTTGTTACGAGCTCTTGGTCTCTAAAATGTTGGCGGCTTTCGAATGTACAGTGGGCGGGTTCCATGCATACTGAATGATCAGCTCGTTTTGTTCGCCTCGAAATCTGTACACTTGTCTTACAATGCATCCATAATACCCTAGAGCTCATGTTTGAAGACTGTGTAGGTACCCTTGAGGTCTGGAACGACCATAGTTTAATAAAATGATTGTTTTAATTCTAGCCATGTCCTGTCTGGTAGACACATCGATAAAATTTTGCTTCGAGGTAAATTGATTAGTTAGATCTTTTTTGATCCGCGGCTTCAATGAATCACTAGCCAGTCCCTCATACATCGAGAATGTGGTGATATCTTGAATAATCGATGGTAATAGTGTTGTAATTGGGTATATCATCGCGTAAAAGCCAAAGAACCGCCACGTAAGAGCCATAGGTATATAAAACAAGAGAGAAGACCACTAGACAAGAAAGGAAAAGAAAAAGAAAAAAAAGAAAGTATAGAGAATGAACCCAACCCAAATCATTATAAATCAAAAGCTATGCTTCTTCACCAATTCCTTCGTACTGCCCATATCATCATTAATAACAATCTTCGAATGCGAGGTACTCTCCTGCGTAACATTAGTCGTGACCTTGATTCCCGCAAAAACCTCCTTCACAGGCTCTTTGGTGTAGCTATTGAAGGAACCAGACGGCGACAGAGCTTCCAGATCGTGGTCATAATCCGAGCTGTGACCACGCCCACCGACGACAGAGGCCAGGACTTGCGTGTTGCCGTTTGCTGTGAGGGGGTTTCCGTTTCGCGTATGTCGCGTGGTCCTGCTGCGGTAGCCGTTGCTTCGGGTGGAGAAGATGTGAGGCAGGAGCTTGGAGAGGAAGGCGCGCGTGCCCGGGAGAGAGGCGCAGATAATTGCGACGTTGCACTCGACCGCGGACCAGGTTGCTGCGCCGACATTGTCGTCTGGGGTAGATTGTTAGATTTGGCTCGTGGATAAGGGAAGGGTTTTGCAGGTGATTGTTAGTACTTACAGGTTGGATCGCTTGAGTTGGCGATAACGAGGAGAGATTTGAGGCGGAGTATACTTGTGATCAAAACGCTGGAAGAATGATTGTTAGTATTGTTAAATGATTCTCATCATATTGAGGCGGACTTACAATCCACCTAGCGCGAAGACAGCAATAAGAGCGAACTTCTGCTTCTTGGGCAATTGTAGCGATTTCAAGACTGGCATTGGGTATATGAGAATGAGAGTATCGGTAAGAATGTGGATGGCCGAGTTGGAGAACCACAAGGCTTTTTTATCCAAACAGAAGCCTGGGACAGTTGGATCCCAGAACTTCGCGAGAGGAACACAGTTGGCCCAGGCGCTGATGATGGTCCAGGCTCCGTAGAAGCCTAGAAAGCCGATCAGGAGCCAACACGCTCGGCGCATGTGTGGTGTGGAGAAGACTCGTTTATATTGGAGAAGGATCGACATCTTTGTGCTGATGAGGCTTGTTTGATATATGGGAACTGAAGCCCAGAAGTACTGTAAGAGGGCCATGTCAATGGAACCGCACTTTGTTGGAGGGATGTTCTGCTGCGGAACTTACGAGCATCTGAGTCTTGAAGGTTGCAGCGGGGATATCCCTATAGTGCTCACCCATGCCGTGGTAGACTTCGCCGACCATCAGGCCGAAGAAAACCCACGAGAAGGCCAGAGAGACTAGGATGACATAGTCGTCCGCTCCCATCTGCTTTACGAGAAATGCTCGTGTAAGTATACGCACGGCAGCAATTAATGTCGCTATAGTCGTAAACACAATGCTGATGGCGAGGGCCTGGTGACCACGGGGTGTCGATAGAGTAGTCATCGTGTCATAAAGGCGTATATAAATGAGTGAAGGCCCAGTTTAGTGCACGGATTGTGATGAACAGAAGGGTGTTGAATGCGCTGAAAGAGAGATCGCAAAGTTCCCCGGTTGACTTATAGTAGATATGAACGGCACTTTCTCAATGCTCGAGATCAAGTATCCCGAGATTAGGGAATGGCCCGCTTCTCAATACATATGTACAAAGGAGGGATAGGAGACCGTAAAGTATGGCGTACGCAATAAAAGGAAAATAAAGCCCGAGGTATGTAAGAGGTCCCTCTCCACCGGATTTGAAGATCACATTCAGCCACCGAGGTAGATATGGAGCAATAGTAGACAAGTATTTAATTTGATAAGATATGCATTCATATTCGTCCCATTAGCCTGGTTGTCCGAAGGGACTAGGGATTAGCGGGCCCATTCTCACGTGGCGATCAGTAGAAAGCGGGAATTTGTGTCGTGCATTGTAACTATAAGGGATATTTGTCATGTCCGCTGCACACCGTACACCGTAAATTGCAGATTATTGTCAAGAGTATACGGCGTATACTTCTACGTACGGAGTACAGGTTCCCTACGAGGGAAGGTAGGAGGTTGAAGGATGCCCTGAAGACCACATGGTCTCCGCATGGCATGAACTTTGTTTTCAGCAAAACGTTCTCTGATTCGTCGATTCAAATGCTTGATCCATGCTTGCTTTGTCGGCCTATATGTACATAATAGGAATCTCTCCCCTGCTTGGGATTGCATCACTGCAGGTGGGTGCGTGGAACCCCCAAAGCGTGGGAATAATTGCTTTTTTTGAAAAAAACTCTGAGTAGCGATTGGTCCACTCGCGGCCAAGATCGTCTTACCCCCATAAACCGGGCTACATTGTCGTGGGTGTCCTATGATATAAAATCAATAGCGTCAAATAACCCCCCCATCAAGACCCTACAAGACTCGGGTTTCTTCGTTTCAATAGGAGCAGGAGGGGTTAGGGGTGGGGCAATACAATCCTATTGTTCTTGCGATCTGCACTTACTTCTGCAGCCCATTTTTGCATCTGAACAAACCTGGAACCTGAAACTCCAATCTCGGGGAGTTCGGGGATATATCTTGATTATTCAAACATTTGAATATTTACTGCCCTAATTACAACTTCACGACACAATACTCCATATTTTTGCAAAGGCTCTAGCTCTCGGTGAAATCGAAAACTCTGAAGGATGCCGATCTAATTCGTATATTCCCAACCGGGAATGGGCGGCGCGCACGGTGCCGGAGTATTTGAATTAATCGACGGTGAAGAAAAGCATCGACTATTGAAGGATAATACGGAGTACTTTGCGATCATTTTGATTGTGATCTAGTGATGTCCATTATACATTGGAAAGACGTTATCATACGTTATAGAGGAAGTAAGCTCGGTATGGCTGCTCCCTACTGTTATTCTCATTGGTAATATTATCCTTCTACCTTTTTGAAACCCTAGTAAAAAAGACGTCTAAATAAGACATCAGAGTGTTATTTTAAATAAAGCTTATATCGCGAAAACTGATATGATTTGAGTTCGCAGCTCGAACCAATTTGCGCGTGTCCATGGCCCCACAAGTACCACCTTCACTAGGACTTCTCCGTGTCCTTGGGTAACGACTCTCTTTTCTGAGTAGTCTCTGTAGAGATACAGAAGAAGTTCAAAGGGATATCACCTCCAGGATAGTTTGGTTTGCTCATCTTCCCACATTGGAAGGTTGAGGTGACATTAAGATTGTGCCGGCTCATGATGGCTTCAATCTCCGGGTAAAGTGGACTGATCCTCTGTTCTAGGGCAGGCATAGTCTCCATTTTCACCGGTAGAGGTAGTGGACTAGTGACACTGACCGCTAGATCTCGGAGGAGTGCATGTACTGCTCCAGACTCATATCACCCTCCGACTCTTCTGATCCACGAAGATAACGACGCCTTTTGCGAGGCGACAAAAGAGTTATGGCCCTGGGATGGTGCGAAGGCCAGAGGATAGGAGCTGGATCAGCCATCACTGATAAGTCAAGAGAACGATAAGAAGCTTCAGCATAAAGTAAAAAGAAGGAGGATATGCCGGATCGAACATTGCAGAAGTGCTGTGAGGATAAGAAGAGCAGATGGTATGAAGAGAGATGGAGGAAGAGAGAGAGCAGGAACGAGAGAGAGCAGGAACGAGAGAGAGCAGGAACGAGAGAGAGCAGGAACGAGAGAGAGGTACCTGATAGCAAACTGATCCTACTAGCTACCATATCCCTATAGTATTCTCACCACATCGACCATGATACCATCCAAGTACCTTTCTATAAAAGTTTAGAGATTAGAGATATATCATAGGTTTATGCGGTGCCTCTATCTAGTTCTAAATTCTACCCTATCTATCGTCACCTTAACTTCTTCGTATAATTAATAAAAAACAGTTAAAAAGACATCTGAAACAGTACCAAGAAAGACTATTATTCTTATTGATTTAGATATGTATAGAAAGGTACTTAGGCACATAGTCACCCATTTCCATCCTTGTAGGTTATCATCATGACTCATGATTGGTTAGTATGGTTAGCCTCAAGCATGCAGATATAATATTGCCCGTATTGTAGATTGCACCGCTTAGCCTACCGCCTTTTTGACGTTTTACTGATTAACTCTGCCGATTCATCACTTTTTTCTTTTTTCTTTTTTTTTGCATTTTGCATTTAAGGTGCGCAGATCATCCGCAAATACAGAAAGTGCCAATTCAAGCCCTGGTTGGCCAGTAAAAGCTAATATGGATCGATAGCTTCGCGGGGGTGGCGCAGAACCTCGCATGCAAGTGCCTTGGATCTTCGACAAGCATGGATGTACATTGAAAAAATTGAACAATCCATCTCAAGTCCATTTACCTCATTTCCAGCCACACAAATTGTGTTCCGGTGAATAATGGCCGATCCCGTGGGCCAAGTCGGGACAACCCACTCACGGTCCTCCGCACCACGGGTCCGCCTCACCTGCGAAGCATGTCGCCAGCGCAAAGTGAAATGCGACAAGTTGAGTCCTTGTACAAGCTGCCAGCGACTTGGCCTCGTGTGTATTCCTGTGGAACGTGCGCGTCTACCCCGCGGCCGCGCGCGAAAGCCTGAGCGGATTGTAGGCTCGGACAAGGAACTATCCGAGCGGGTAGCGAGACTCGAGAAACTTCTAAAGATAGTTGCAAATGAACGAGGTGATGAATCGCATATTTCCTCCATTGTCCATGTGCCTTCGCATTCATCCACACAGCAGGAATCGGTGGCGGAGGCCAGCACGACCGGTCCTGATACTCACCAGGATCACGACTACTTGCCCGGTGCAGCCCAGCCACATCTTCCCCGCCCTTCAACTGCGTATGTGGGGGGTCCATTTTGGGAGGATATCATGCAGCAAGTAAGTTTGTTAAACTTATGATTTGCGGATGTGATTGACTCATGTCACAATCACAGACCCAGGAATTGCGCAGTGTCCTGGAAGATCGTCTAGAAAATGAAAACCACGATATCAAAGATTCAGCGTCTGGTTTTGGTGTGTCGGTTCTGAGCTCAGAAAGCCCCGACAGTTCGTCGAACTCACCCCAGGCCAACAGTCGATTAAATCTTCAACCCCAAATCCGGCACAGGTTATGTGATATTTTCTTCCGCAATGTCGATCCTCTGTTCAAAATCCTACATCGGCCGTCGCTCCAAGCATTTATTAGGGATGGCAAGCCTTATCTTGACTATGAGCAGGATCACCAGGCACCAGCCACCCTTGCTTCGGCTATTTATCTTTGCGCTGTTTGTACTCTTGACGAAGTGGAATCTCAGTCAATGTTCAACACGAGCAAGAAGATAATAGTCGCAGAATTCCAAAAAGAAACCGAATCTGCACTCGCAAAGGCGGACTTTGTCACGACGAACGATCTCACTGTTCTGCAAGCTTATATTATCTCTCTGGTCAGTACAACTACAATTTTATCGTCTTCGTGCTCCTTCATCTTGAAATTCTAATCTAAACCCTTCTAGCTCGCCGCACGATCTCAAGACCAAAGTCGAAGGGTCTGGACTATGTTGAGCATGGCACTCCGAGTAGGGCAGGCATTATCTCTCCACATGCCCCAGCCGCCATTCACCGTACGCCCTTTTGAGCACGAGATGCGCAAACGAGCATGGCTGGGAATCGGCCTTCTCGATGTAGCAGCCTCCCTAGACAGGGCATCCGAGCCGATGATGCAATCAGCATGGCTCGATTACAACCCGCCTTTGAACATCAACGACGAGGACCTATGGTTTGACATGACATGGCCAATCTCCGAACACACAGAAGGCACATTTACCGACATGACGCATACCTTGGTTAGCGCAGCGGCTGCGTCCGTGACTCGAACTCTTGCATTTTCGGACGTCACAGAGCCAGCCGTAACTATCATGAGTTTGCGGCAGCAAGTCGTCCACGATTTCCAACAAAAGACGTCAGTACTTCTGGGAGGCTGCAGGCCCGACCTGTCGGACTTCCAGTGGTACGCGCAGAAGACAGCATGTCTTATGGGTAGCTGGCTGCAGCTAGCATGTCTCCGGCCGCTGCAACGCAGCTATAATTTCATACCCCCGAAAATCCAGGAGAATGCTCTTCTCAAAATCGCAGCTGATAACCTGCAGTGCTCGCAGGAGGTATACAACCACCCAGGTTCCAGGTCCTGGCGGTGGTACCAGTCGATGTGGGTTCCGTGGCACGCATTGGCCGTGGCTCTTGCCGAACTCTGTGTCTGCAAAAGTCCCACGGTGATGTCAAAGTACTGGACAGTCGTTGAAGATGTCTACCACCGCTCGCGGCTCGTAATTGCAGATTCTCAACAGGGCATGCTCTGGAAACCTTTAGAGAGGCTCATGTCACAGGCGAAAACGCAAAGAAATCAGCTTCTCGGTATTGATGCCTCTCGCCAAGAATACTCTTTTGACGGCATTTCTCCCGAGCTTTTCTCGGAACAATCTGAACGTCAACAGGATCTTACGAACTTCTCGCTTGATTTGAGAGAGGCCGTCGATGGACCACGAGACTCGCACGTTGCAGAAGTGCCGACTTCCTTTGCGCCGGTGCCCTGGCCCAATGTGTGGGATGCGATGGATTTCAGCGACCCGACTCTGCAAAGTAGCTCCGATGACACGGCTTGGTTGAGCTATGAGAACTTTATCGACAATGTCTACGATAGCGTCGATTCCATTTTCTTGCCACGGTGAAAACTACACATCGGGGAGCCAGTGAAGGGGAACTTGGATTGCACAGAGATGCCTATCCTTCAAAGCTAATATCGTATTCGGTAAGCGAGCTGCGCACGCAACCGAGCTGCGCACCCCAACCAAAACGCGTCCGTAAATTAGTACCTAATCAATTCAACCACCTACCATGCCACCAATATGCTCCCGATTGTCTGTAAAGTCAATAGAGTAGGAGGGCAGGGTCTTATTAGCTATTAAAGCTTGAAAAAAGAAGAGATTACTTCTATTCATGGAATTGTGTATACCTTTAGTATACCCGAGTCTATACTCTATATACGCCTATATGGTATTTAATACCATACAATTTCATATACTAACTCTTCTAAATTAACTATAATTAAAGATGAATCTATTAAAAAATAGTTACACCAAATGGCACTTTTAATGACTTTAACGAAACAGAATGAAAATCTTCAATGCGGGCCACGAAAGGCGAGGGAGCCGTCAAGAACAGATTGTTGGCCTTTCTAATCAGCCAAAAGCGAATTTCTGAAGTCGAGCATTAATTTCCGTACGAGTTGGGTAAAGCGTTGCAGGGCCAAGGTCCCAACTTGACTCAGCAACCTTAGGGGCATCATTATTCACACCTGAACTTTCGGCGTCCGGGGTCCCTAATAAAGCCTGCGATATGGATGGCAAGGGAAGCTCGTCGCCGAGAAGGCGTTGATAAGTACATTGTCTTTCTCGTTGGGTGCATTCCGCACACGGAATTTCCCCATTACAGGCTTTCCTGAGGCTTGCACAACTATCACAGGCACGTTTGTGTTTTCCACCGCGCTCCGGCTCGGGGATTGCATGGCCACTGTCCACACGGGCCTTGCACGATTTCCAATGCCTCCGTAGCACATCTCTAGGTGTTTTTGTCAGCACACATGACAGGGTGAGATATCTCTCTTCGGAAGTGATGGAAGATGACACACCCTCGGCTTAATACAGAGCCGCAAAATGAACAGATGTGGCTCTTCGCCGTTTGATCTGTGGCAAGTCATTACTGTATCCATCTGAGTATTATTGGAAACATACGAGTAAGGGCATGGCGTTTCATATGGTCTAATCGCTGAAAATTGGAGGGACATTCTTTACATCTCCACATCTTTGGGCCTGTTGTGGTCTCTGGCTTTTGTACTCGTTGCTTCATGGGGGGTTGGCGTCGGTTTAATAGAAGGCTCCGAAAAGGTGACAACCTCAGATGTGGATCTCACAAGATAGATCATTTGCGGAAGACGGGCTATTAACAGCCATCGAGTGGGTATATCCCGCCAAGATCCCCTGATGAAACCAGAATTGAATATGCAATCCGAGATTCGAAGTCGGTTGTAGACTTGGCGCGGCTCAAAGCGACGATGATGAGCGAGACTCGGTAATTCGACGTTGGCGATTGGCGAGCTAAAGGGAGAAGTCGGTTGTGAGATTTAGCCCGTCGCGATTGCCCCGCCCATGACGAACACAAAGATTAGGCCCAGCAGACAAGTCTATTGTTTGAGAAATATATAAAGGGTGCATAGATTGTCCACTTATCAATCTCTTCAGTAAATCAGATTCGACAAAACGACAAGGGGGAAGAAACAGAATTGGTGGCCTAAAATATCAGGCAACAATCTCAAGACACGTCACATTGGAGAATATGCCTTCTATTGGCCCAGATCCAATAGCCATGGAGAATGATAGGACAGAAGATTATTATAATAACTGGCCCAATGACAAGGGTGTAAGTGAAGTGATAGTTAGAACCCCCGAATTATACATGCTCATCCCTGTTTAGTTCGATCCTGAATACGAACAGCGCAAACCCGTCGAGCTCTCTGTGATAGGACATATTCCTGCCTACGCTGCTGGAGTTCTGTACCGCACAGGTCCAGGAAAAAGCCATGTCGAAGCCGAGAATGGAGAAACACTGCGTCTCTCCCACTGGTTCGATGGATTCGGTCAAAACCATCGTTTCCAGATCTTTGCTCCAGATGACTCCTGTACTTCACCTCGGGTTTTCTACAACTCTCGCTTCTCAACCGATGACCAGATCGAACTAGCAAGGAAGACGGGATCTCTGCGCACGATCAGTTTCGGACAGAAACGCGATCCCTGCAAGAGCGTCTTGGGCAAAGTCCAGACTGAATATGTCGCGCAACCCACTCCGTCGAGTAAGAACATATCTGTCACCCTTTCGATCAATGTTCCAGGCCTTGATCCCAAGCCCGATGAGTCGAAGTCAGCTTCTCGGTGGAGTGATTCCCGAGCAATCCGAACCCTCTATGCGAAGACCGACTACAACGCCTTTCAAAAGCTCGATCCAGAAACCCTGGAGCCCATCGGCCTGGCCTCGCAGACAAGTTTACACCCTGAGCTTTCGGGGCACCTCGCTGCATCTCATGCCCGATCCGACCCTATCACGGGAGACATGTTCAATTATAATCTCACGCTGGGACCAACCTGTACATACCGTGTTTTCGGGGTCTCGGCTTCGACTGGGGAAACCACAATCCTAGCAACCTTCCCCGCAACACCTGTTTATATTCACTCATTCCTCATCACGGAGGACCACATTTTGCTATGTTTGTGGAACTCGCACATAAAGCCACGGGAGTTTGACTCCTCGTTCATAGATGCGATCTCGCCAACAGACCCAAGTCAGCCGGCAGTGTGGCATGTCATTGACCGTAAGCATGGCAAGGGATTGATCGCGACATACGAAAGCCCTGCGTTCTTTTGCTTCCACACGGTCAACGCATGGCTCGAACCCTCGAAGGAGAATCCGGCGGAGTTGGATATTGTTGCAGATGTCGTGAGAGCCGACAGTTCTGAATGTTTGCAATCTCTCTATTATGAGAATTTGATCTCTTCATTGGATACAGCCAAGGCCTTCCAAAAGAAGAAAGACGATTCTTTCCGTTCATCATTTACTCGGTTCCGACTGCCTGCGGTGCCTTCCGCCCCATGCACCGAGCCCAAGAAAGCAATAGTCGAGTGGTCTGTTTGCAAATCGTTGTCGCCTGAGCTGCCAACTCTGAATCCGAAAATTGTCACCCAGAAACACCGATATGTCTACGCTGTGACCTTCCGCGGAGAGGCAACTCTGACAGATGGTATCATGAAGCTCGATTGTGATACCCAGCAAGTGCAGCTCTGGGCATGCCACGGCCAATCGCCTGGCGAGCCCATTTTCGTCGCTAACCCCGAAGGCACTAGTGAGGATGATGGCGTACTTCTTAGTGTGGTTCTCGACGGGATGCGTAGCAAGAGTTATCTGCTCTGCCTCGATGCTCGTAATTTGTCGGAGCTTGGTCGAGCAAATGTCGACGGGGCCGTTGGGTTCGGATTCCATGGACAGCATGTTCCGACTGTGGGTGGAATGCCTACAGGTGACTACTAAGTGTGAAGTTCTTTTTCGGATATTATTATTGCTAGTATTATTACGTAGATTGACATCTGTTAAATTCCATAGTCTAGTCTTAGCTTGTTAGCTCTATATAAGCCAGAATTCAAAAGAATATTTCGATGAATCACTCGTTATGCGGTTATCGCCCACCTCATTGCTTGGCTACATTGTTGAACAAGAGAGACTGATGTAATAAGTAAATAGGGAAATGATAGTACGGGGACCGAGTATTCTCTAAGGCTTATTATTGTTATAGTACAGTTAAGAGACAGATCGCCAACGTTAGAAACCTAAGGAGTATTCAGGCAAGTTTACATTTTTTTCCTATCACAAACATCTATCAAAATTTCGCGTAGATCCTATATTGTGCTCTCATTGGTTAATTTCTTCGAGCTAAACCATGCCCCAAGATGACATCCACTCCATATCCCTATATATCATTCATCAGAGCTACTTATTCCACTTCAACTTCCAAAATGGCACCTCCAGGTGAAAAAAATATCTCAATTCTTCTGGCAACAATGCAACCAAGCCTAGACCCAGCAATCTACGTCTTCCTCACAACCAAATCACCCCTCCACTCACTACCTCTCTCGACACTCCAACCGCAACTAATCGTGCAAGAAGAAGAGGGAACAACGATCGTGACAACAGAAGCGCTCGCCACGTCGCATGACTTCAACGAGCCAATCTTTCCCTGCAAGAAGATCTCCCTTACTATCCACTCCAGCCTGGAAGCCGTCGGCTTGATCGCTGCCATTACTAACCGGCTGAAGGACCACGGTATCAGTACCAATGTTGTCAGCGGTTATTTCCACGATCATATCTACGTACCCGTTGCGAGGGCGGAGGATGCGATGCGGGTTTTGGAGGAAGAGGCTGCTGAGGCGAGGGGATGAGGGGAAAGTTGTTTTGCGTATAGGTTAAAAGACTCAAATCAAACGGATGTAAAACGAAAAAAAGCGTGGATTAAACCCTGATCCTCAGTTTGCTAACTAACGAATCTCGAATGTCTATCTCAAGAGACGCCGAAAAAGTCAGACATCCCACCCCCATACCCATACCTAGGTAGTAATGCAGCTCCGCTTTTCGGGGGCCTTTTTGCGCGCGGATTTAGGCTTAGATCAAAGCGACAAGCCTTTTAAAAACAAAGCAGAAAAAAGAAAACACCACCAATGTGGGCCTGGCTCTTGGATATTGTACATTGAGACAAGGGAGAGGACCTGGGAACCATAAAGACAGTGAGAACATGAATAATCAGGGTATTAATCGTACAGAGATATTGATTCATGATAAACGAAAAAGAAGCCGTTGCGACACCGGAAAACATGTAATAGGAAATTTAATAGTCTACCTCCTTCTCAATCACCATGATTAACTCGGTAAGTTCCTTGCGCAGCGCACGATTCCGGTCCCAGACTTCGACGATCTTGGGGCGCTGGCTCGTGAAGCAGGCCTTCTTCCAGGGAAGTCCACCATATTTGGACGTGGTCCGATTCGGCAGGCCCCGGGCGATGTTGCGCAGCACCAACGCAGCCTTGTAGGCCACGCCAAATGGCTCGCCCTTTTCGTTGATCGGTGTATCCATGTAATACCATTTGCGGACGATTCGCTCTTGGAGAACCACACGCTTGGCGGTTGTGGGCTGTGCGTCGGCGGGGCGGTCTTCGGGCAAATGCGAGGAAACATGGCCCGCCACCATGGATGTGTTGGCGCTGGGCCCAGATGCTCGGAACCGTGTGCAGTGGTCCCATTGGCACGTATGGATGGGAGACTCTGCGGCGTCAAGCTTATACTGGCCGGGAGTGTCTGTGGGTTCCAGGGTCATGTGGTCGCCGAAAACATGGTTCCGGAGATCTGTCGGAGATGTGAACGCACGCTGACACATCTTTGAGGGCTTTGAATTGTCAGCCCATCTGCAATAGGAATAGGGGAAGCCCTCGAATGTGTGCGCAGTTTCTAGAGGTCGGATGCCCTTGATAATGAATTTGGTGGCAGTGCCGGGGCCATTGATGACCTGGGCCTGGGCATTTGTGAATGTATTGCTGACGTTTTTGATAAACTCTGCAGCGGGAAGAACACCCCCTCCAGTGACACGGGGATCTGCAAATCGGCTCTGGTAGGCTTGCCATAAAGCGATCTGTGTGATCTCGCATTCTGAATCCTCGATGAAACAGCAACGGAGCCATTGGGAGCTTCGCTCTGGTTCGGACAGTTCCATGAGCTTTTCCAAAAGCTCGGGGGATACACGGGGAATGTCAGTGGGTGGAGGTGCAACTTTTTCTTCCTGGAGAACAGTTTCTTTTTTGGTGGGTCGTGCTTCATAGGTCAAAAGCGCGATCATGCGAGGAACGAAGACGATTGGGAAATTGACAACATCCATCAATGTCTCGATATTATCATGACTGAGCGTGTACTGATACCAAAAGTCCAGTGCACCACTCAGAATATCCTTGTCGAGGTCAAGGAGCGTGTGATAATACATCTGCTGGAGAGTCGGTCTGGTCAGGGTTTCCATGGCCCTGTTTGCATCCGCATCGTCCAGCTCAGTGCCGAAGTGTGTCAACGCCCACAAGGACCGCACAACGTGTGCGCGGTCTGGAGAGTCAAGGCAATTCACCAAAGAGATCCACAGCGGATCTTCAGGGTCAGTTCGCAAGAATTTGGTGACCTCTTCCGCGATATCCAGTGCATCATTTTTGATTTCATTCAGTCGCGGTTGATTGGGAGCATTGATCAAGATGACCAAGAAATCCCGCAATAGACCATTTGCATAACGCGACACATAAAACGCGTTCTCTTTCAGGAGCACCATGTTTCGCAAGACTAACGTGGCCTCTTTGATGTTTCTCAACCGATGATTGAAGTCGTAGGTCTCAAGACTGTCGTCCGGGAGGTTCACTGGGATTTTGCTAATTTTATCCAGAATATCCCGGGTACCATGTAACGAATTGAGCACATTGGCACGGTCTGTCGGCTTCCGGGGATCATACTGGAATTCCCACTTCACTCCCGTGCAGAGTTGTGTGATGTCAAGTGCTTTCTGCATCAAAGTTTCCGCAAGCAAGGGAAATCCTTCAAATTTGAATTTATCCCACCGCTGATTTGAAATTTGTACTAGGTGGTACAGCGCAAAGTCGACTTCGTCTGGAATACCTGACTGCAGGCCATAATGGGCACGTTTGTATATGTGATCCGCTTAACGAGACAAGGCCATCAGTATTTCTAGCCGATTCATGGGATGCATGGGGATACTGACTTCTTGGAACCTCGAGATATCTCAACGGGAAATAAGGGTCTTGATAATCCAATTGCCGGGGCATTTTCGAAGGGTCACGCACATGGGAAAACATGAGCGGTCGGTTCCCTGGGGTCGGGACTTCCCTCGTCGACATGGGCACCTGTCGATTGTCTTTTCCTTCCCAGCTATCGACTGCGAACTGCGCGCTTTGGGGATTGGCGGCCGGATTCATGTTTACATGATGGGGGCTGGTCGGCGGTTGTGGTGATGTGAGTCCATGATGGGTGTGTGATCGACGGGCAGGGGCTGTATCGGGGATGAAGGGTTGGTTGATTTTTGGAGCATGGCGTAAGCCCTCTGTGGGTGGTGTTAGTATAGGTACCACACCTGTCTGCTGAGAGATGGCAGTCTTACGTCGCAGCGAGGTGCGAGGGGTAGAGGCAGACATGGTGCTGCTAAATGAACGCGACAGCGTTGCGCCGTTCACGTTTTCAAACGCAGGGGGTGGTTCGGTTCTTGCAACGGATGAGATCAACAAACTTGACCTCGAGAATCCGAGAGAAAATCGGAGACAAGATCCTCTGGTCCCAAGATCAAAGACTTTGAAGAGACGGCTCGAGGAATGCTGCCCTTGATACGTCTTTATGTGCAAACGAGTCGAGCAGGAAAAATTGCAGGGGCGTCAAACTTGCGACTTTGTGGGGCTGCTTCAGGGTCTGAGTACAAAGGCGATAGAATGTTGATTCTGACCGAAAGAGGTGATGGCGACGGCCAGTGACTGTGGCTCGGCTTGAGTCGCAGGTTTCGCGCGTTCAAACCTGAGAACACTGGATGCGACGGTGAAAAGAGCAAAGTGCTCAGCAGCAACGGCAGTTTGAAGGGAGTAGTAAATTTGCGCGTCGGCGATCAAAGTCAGCGATACGTTTCAAAGATAAAATAATCGTCAATGCCTTGCGGCCCTGGAGGGCTAGAGCTGGGCTTGCGATCAACGGCACTGATCAGCCAAAAGTCCGCGCTTGTCCAGAGCGCGTTATCGGATTATTGGTTGTTCCTATTGATGACTCAGCGATGTATGTATTGGGGCCTCAGGCTGTCACATTCTTCAATAATTGTTATTTTGTCCACAGACACAATAGAAACAATAGAAACAATGATCAGTCTTCATGTCCTGATTGTATTCTATGCTCATGTTTTCTTTTGGAATGATTCAACCAACGAAGCTGACAAAGTTTACATAGAGTGTTCCTAGGGCAACAGTCATATCTTTTCGAGTCTCAACATGACTTTCAAGAATTTAAATATTTTGGAATGAGATACAAGGCAAGACATACATTAATCTTACAGCAAGTGGTTTAGCTACACTCTAGTTATACATGGTAATGGGGTGGGCAATGCTAATTAGTGGGAGTGCTGACGGAGAGTTCTCTCAATCTCGCCCTCATCATGAACATCATTTCACTAGCCACCACGCTCATTCTTCATCTATATTATATCCATTGATGACTCCTCGGCCTTTACTCTTTGTGAATTTCTCTTAGTCTATAGGATGCAGCATCTACAGCCACCCATCATCCCTCCTCAGGTCCTTCGCTTAGCCATTGCCAAGTTCTCTCATACAACCACTGCCATCGACCATGTCGGTCCATTGACCTGGAATCATGTCCCTGGGAATGGAGACCTCGCTTGCATCTTTGAGAAGTTTCTCGATTCCGGATCTGTGCCATCGAGGATGATTCAGAAAGTGGTTCGAGGTGATGGTATCCTGGTACACTTCACTTACACATAAAGCTTGACAAGAGTCAGTAATGCTGAACATCTGGGTTATCGAATTTAGGAGCAGCTTGATCTCGTATTCTTCACTCGCATGGCAGGAATGCAGGCCCGGCTTATTCCACCCCCAAGGTCACACTTTGCTGTCGTAGTAAAGTCGCCTTGTCTTGCAATCAAGTATCCTCACGGTGAAACACATGTGTGTATATTCTGATATCACTTTGGGTGGTGATTCCTAACTAAACCGTCCTGTAACTCTGCAGATTCGTCGGTTTCAGATCAAGTTCACAACAGAGCGTGACTACTTCATGGCCTTGACTCTTCTAGGCGAAATCAACTGTCCATTGACAGAAGGCAAAATACCAGTCCCAGCAATACAACGACTCCCTTCAGTGTCATCATGGACGTCGGGGCATCTCTCTTCAATTGCCCCCCGGACTGCAAATACGGCGGCAACTTCAACTAGCAGCAATGGAGTCCACTTCTACCCCACGGGAGCGTTGGGGTCTGGAAGGACAAGTATGTAACGATTCCTCTGACCATCGCTCGAGCAGCGATCTCACACTTTGACTTCGATAGCACCCATTCGAGCATCTTCTCCCGCAAGTACTATTTCACACCCTGTGTCCAGATTGGGCCCTGTGCCAGCTCTCAACCTCCCATCCCAAAGCATGGGACCGGTAGATCTATCTCAACCACTGCATGCATCTGCTCTCGCACACATCTCAAACCAGGAACCCGAGCCACGAAGCTCTCAGCTTTCCACCATATCTGCAATCCATGACGTCGACCAGTTAAACCAGATGCTCCCTCCTAAGCGAGATCTGCCCTTCTCAAAGCCAACTGCAAGAAAGCCGCACGCTGCAAGCTTGTCTCGAGCAGCGCAGAAGCATCCCCAGTCAGCTCCGCCGCCAATTTCGCAACCCACTAGGCCAAACAAAGACCCAGAACCTCATCCACCTCATCTTGAGGTCGAACCCAATGATCATTATAATTTGCCCGATCCGGATTCCCAACTCTTGTCCCAAACAAATGCTTGCCCCGAGGCGAGCCAGCCATTATTGCTCTATGAAGAGCCCCCTGCTTCCCAAAACACAGCTCCGGTCTGTGAATCCGCCGAACAGATATCTCAAGTACCTAGCGTTCAGGATACATCGCAAACCCAGAATAAGCAAACTAACTTGAACTGCAACCATAATCCGGCTAGCAATCCAAACGACGAAGCACCCACCATGACCGAAGACCATCTTGTCCGGTATCTTTCTTCACCAACAGCTGAGCGCATTGCCTTTCTTGAGAACTGGATGTCCGAGTTGATTGACGATGACAGTTTCATGACTCTGTGCGAGGATGTAGATGGAACATGGAGACGATTTGCATTCGGACAAAGGCAATGAGGGATGACTGCTATTCGCTTGTTCTCTGGAATACCGTATCTTATGTTCCTAGTATCTTATTTTCCTAGTTTATATCATATCATAACATGCCATGTCATGTCTTGTCTTGTCATGTCATGCTATATGGAGAAAATCAACTCGATCTTCATTGTGTATGTGATGTTCAGGCGACAAACTGGAAAAATGACGCATCATCCATGTCTTCAACGCGCTTTACCTCTGAATAACTACCCTTAAGAACATCGACTTTATAGTAGAAAAGACCATCATTCAGGACAAACATGCTTGGCAGACCCCTCGGAACTAAAAAAAGACCCCCGTCCGGCTCGGAACTATATCCAATAGTGTAATGGAGCTTGCACCGAGAACATCGATCGAACCTAGTATGTCCCTTGCAGCCTTCATCCAGGTACGCGGCAATACTAGGTTCCATCAGAACGACCAGATATTTACCCTCATAGGAGCGGATCCGTGTCTTCCCATCATGTTCAGAGAGCTGAAAACACCTCCCATCACTGTACGGATTTCCACCAAAATATAGCTTGGTTTCCAGCTCCCCAGCATCACCGGACCAGATACTATCGCCGGTAATGGGATATAACGAAAACCATTTATCGGGGTGGTAAAGATCGACTCCGTCCGCGGAAATAGGATTGCCCGGATCAACGACAGGATTTGAAATTGACGGGGGAATGGGAGGTTCGGCATCGCCATAGTCTCCCGCTGGGTCAATTTGGACTTTGATAGCGTCATGGGTGTGGTCCGTCCACTGCCCGTCCTGGGCTAGGTACCGCGACCCATTGCGGATGTAAAATACGTCTCCTTCATAGTCGGGATAGTCAGTGAGAGCGCCGACATATGTGCGATTGTGAATTATCGTTTCTCCGTCGTCGGAAAGGTAGAACAAAGCACCACGCGCATGGTAGTCTCTGCATATCTCGAAGTCGTTGCCGTGATAGTGAATAGCAAGATATTGGCCAGTGACGATAAATCCGAATGGCCTGTCAAAGCCTTCATCCTCCATGTGGGGTACTTCCACACTAGCAAAGAACTATTCAAGATTAGCATAGCTATTTGACTCATTGAGGTAGTGTCTATACGGGGAGGTCAAAGCAACAGGAATAGTAGCGTGGTCGTAAGTAAAGGTGGGATAAGGAAAACCCTACGCAGTACTATAGAGGCTTTCCCGTCAGCCGAGCCTTAGACAGCCCCTGGTAAAAGTCGTAGTCTGTGGTGAAACGGCAGCGAGATGCAGGAGAGAATTGACAGTCGCCTTGTTTGTTGAGTTTGCATCGAACCGGTAATTTCGAAATTTCGAAACTCTTTGGGTAAGCCACCTCGCGCCTGGAATTGGATACATATATAGATCATATATAAACGATATTCCATTCAAGAGCTAGATCCCCTCTTTTTGACCGAGAAACGACTACAACATAAGATATAAAAGATATCATCGAAGCCTGAGCCATAGGGAAGCCCAGCCAACGCAAATATTACATAATGAGAAACGATTTCTGAGGGGCCTCCTTTATTCAGACAAAAAAAGTAGACACAAGGATTAAGCGGAGAAGACGGGGCTTGATCGCGAAACAACTCAACGTGTACGACGGTAGATCAACCCAGAGAAGACGTTCAGGTAGCCCTCCTTAGTGAGCATAGTGAAGTCAACAACAACACGACCCGATCCGCTCTGCGACTGGGCCAACTGAGGAGCGATATTCTGCTCCGTTTCGCCATGCTCATTGGAAATACCTGGCGGGGGCGTGGACGGCGCGTTCTGACCAACCGAGCCCTCGGCGCCGACAGCAAGATCAGCAAGGTGCTGAAGAGAACGCTGCTCATTGGGGCCCATCACAGGCTGCTGGGACTTGGCGAGACCGCCGAGCTCAGCTTCCTGGAGCTGGCTCTCCTGGGACTTGATACGGCGCCACTCAAGGAAGATGCGGATCTTGGCATCCCATTCCGGGGTGCTGAAGATATTGTCGAACTCGGAACCCTTTGCTGCACGCTTGGAGCGGTAGTCGAGGATCTCTTCAACTTTTTCGAGGGTAGCCCAGCATTCGCTTGCGTGTTCTGGGAGAATGGTCGCCTCGAGAAGAGTCATTGAAGCGAGCGCGAGACTGTGAAGATCAAAGGGGGATGGGAGGCGGGATTGCATGGTTGACTTGTGCATCTCGTTGATTACCTCCTGCGCGCAGAATATGATCTCGTACGGGCTGTATACAAAGACGTGACGCTTGATGAGCAAACGGACGGTCCAGTAAAGTTGTGCTTGGAGGCTTTCGTAAAGTGGGCGAGTGGTAGAGTTCTCGGGTAGCTCGTGGATCTGGAATATGTCCTCCATCTCCGCTAGACGCTCCAGAGACGAGACTAGGTTCGCGCCGATGATACGACCCAGGCCGGAGTTAGTCTGGCAGACGTTGTGGTCGACATTGACCAAAGTGACCATCTCCGAGAGGAATGTCGAGTAAGCTGGAGCGAAAAGGGTCAGTGAAACAGTAAAATTGTAAACCAAGGAAGATCAACATACACGCAATTCCGGTTGTGATTTGACCAACAACCCTTGCATCTTCACGGCCGCCAATCTCATGACCCCCCAGAACGGTAGCATCTGCCACACTCATAGCATACCACCGGGCCAAGATGACCAAAGACACCCAGTTTCGCCGGGTGAGATTGGCATCCGAGTCGACGTCGGGATCTACAGATCGCTTGTTCTTGAGCTGGCCTTGGCTCTTGGCCAAATCGTATCCGAGCTTGTTAGCGGCTTGGACTAGGCTGCCCTTGGGTATACCATCTTTGAGAACAAAATTATCCGGCCCACGCGTGTCACAGTCGATGATCATCAGCAAAAGAGATTGAAGCCAGATTAGGTTGACGGGGGTTGTATGGATAATCAATGGCTGGCGAGTGTGGAACATGAGGAGATCCTGAGCATTATCAAAGCCATTAATCTTCTCGAAATTGCCAGCCACACGAGACATGTCAGTGCGAGTAACGCTGTACAACGCATGGCAGAAAATTTCCTGTGCCTCGCGATTGCATTGGTGCAAAAGCTCCAACGTTCGCTCCTTGGTGTGGGGAAGAATTGGCAGCAGGGTGTGAATCTTCTGATAGTAACTGCAATCCGGTATGAGGTTAGTTTCTCGTAATTACGAGGATTACACATTGCACGTACGCATCAAGAGCTCCTTCATCCAAAGTCACCGGTGTCATATCATCATCACCTTCATGCTTTGGCAAATCCGTCATCTCAAGGCCGCTTGGGAGGTCATTCTCATGACCCGTGGGGCTCCAGAACAGATTACCAGGTCTCGGTGCGCTACCGTTGGCGACGGCTGGGTTGTACGGGTCTGCCGCTGTCTCGGACGCGTCGAAGGCATTTTGCGATACGCGAGCGTTGAAAGAAGGTTGTGCAAACGAGGAACTGGGAAGACCTTCGAAGACCGAGTAAGTCCTCTTGCGATTGCCCGAGGTCGATTCCACCGGCGAAGCGAAATCCTGGTACCCTCTCGGTAGCGATACCTCGTTCATGGACTGGTAGGGCACGTCAGGCTGCACGATCCCTGGTTGCATCTGGTTCTCTAGAGTATGGAGTCGCTCGGCAAGTTCTTTGATATACCTGTGTCTCTGTCAGCGCTGGCGATTCTTGTAGTGGTGCACTTGTTGTTCCTACCCTTTACTAGGGCCGCGTTTCATCGGGACGCGACTGAACTGGCACACAACGCCGAGGCGTCTGCAGTTGGAGCATGTTTCAAGGCCGGTTTCTGAGCTTGCATCGCATCGAACCTGTAAAAGAAAACGCGTCTTAGCTTTTCAGGTTTCACAGTCGCGTTTGGGGGAGTTATTATCGTACTTTCTTTCGCCGGCACTCGTCGCAGGCCCTTGAGATCTTCGATCGTTTGCGCGCACTCTGTTCGCCATAGCTCAAGTCGTGATTGGGGTCGACGCCAACCTGTTGACTTGGGGGGAACTGGAGCATGTGCTGATGCTGGTGTTGATCCTCCGACGAGGTTCGACCCATGTCGGCAGCGTTTGAGGAACCCAACACCATGGACTGGCCATGATGAACACCGTTGTTTGTTTCGCCGAGACCTGGACCGGACGCATCACGCGAAAGTTCTGCGGACAGCAGTTCGTCGGTGGTCATTTGGCGGTTGCCATAATACGAGGGCACACCCTGCGCCATCTGCGCACCGTTAGGAGACGGGTAAGAAGGCGCCGGAGGCATATCAGACTGCTCGCGAGAGTTCATTGTGTGGGATGAAACTGAAAACCTCAAGTAAAATGATGGGTTGTGGGCAAAGCGGGCCTCCGGGGGATGGAGAGAAGATAGTGTAGGACGCGAGATGCAAGAAGTGAAGTTTTAACTAAAATTTCGTGGGGGGTGATTTTCAAGGGGGCTAGCGCGGAGAGCGCCGCATTAAGCAACAACATTTGTACAGAAGTTTCAAAGGAATTAGATATTATTTTGAAGCTATATACAGTTGTTTGCTTCCCCGAGTCTTTTTTGATGATCGCACGGAGGACGGCCTTTCGTTTCTGCGTGTCGAACGGATTAATACTATTTCCCCTTCGGCTTCGGATGAACTACCACGTACAAAACGATGTTAGCACCCATGCCATGCCACTTTATTCCAGGGGGCAGTGAGTATCAATCATGCTCTCAAGACCGTCGAATGTCATCGGACTCGTTCACACTGATATTGATCTGATGCGCGAGATCAGTCAGGTGATTTTCCTCATAGTACTATAAACTCATCGTTCTGAAAACCTAGTGCTACAAGTCCTTGATTACTCTACTCGTCCACCCTTAACTAGTGGGAGTAGTGGGGGTCTTACGTTCCTATGTTGTTGTTATCTACATCCCTATATATTCAAGAGTCTTCTTTGTGGACAGAGACAGATATTAGTATGGAATTGGCCACAGAAAGATTCGCATCTACCCGACAACTAGTTTGAGAGTGATGAATGATTTAGTTGATTTTCTAAATCAAGCTATTCCAGCCTGATGTCAATAGTGGTATGCTTACCATAAAATAAGTTGGAGTTGCTATTTCTTCATTTGAGATATGTCAAACCAAAGAGTATGAGTATCTCATACTTTCTCGCTATTCGCTATTATTATTACCCGGATCTGGTTTTTTCGGGGGCAATAACCAGCTATGTATGTTGTATGTGCTAGTTGAGGTCAGAGCACCGTTTTTTTACGTGGAATCATGTAAAGGGGTGATTAGAGGTCAACGTAATGCAATTCAACCAAATTCGACTCCATACATCATATGTTAGATCAGATGATTCAACCTTAATATGTTGTACTGTACAGATGGATAAAGACGAACAAAACCTGTACATACGGAATACCACGTAAAGAAACCCAGTGTCCACCGCAAGATAGCGATTGGCGGGTAAAAAGATGCAGATCAGGGCCCAAACTCTCTGCAGGCCGCCCGAAGCAGGGACACTGACGCCATCGACCCGCTTTTGCGCTATGACATGCATTTTGGTATGGTACTTGTATGTACTCGGTATTTGTCGCACGTAATCTGATATTAACTTTTGATGCACACCTACGTGGACTCCTTCCACTGGATGCTTTTCTCTTTCCTATCATTTTCCATTACTAGTTGTGTGTGCCAAGGACATGGATGAAAAGATAAACTAGGGAAACTTGCAGGGATTATGGAAAGTTCCTCATGTACCTGGCTCAAGCGCACCCCTGAAACATTATGTCCTATAATAGATTCAGCCCCAGCAACTAGGGTTACCGTAGCACAAACACAATGTTCATATGTAAGTATGAGAGAGTATGAGTCGGGATACTCCGTATGCGGCCCCAGATTTAGGTCCATATTTTGCTAAGTGGGGTGAGTTCGTCAAGATTAGACGCCAATTTTTGTGTATGTTGTAAGGGAAATTCCATGTAGTGGCTACGAGTTCGGTCATACTATACACCCGGTTGGGGCTGCCAGTTTGGGCGTGAAAAAAAGGCAAAGTTTAAAAAGCGAGAATAGAGAACGAGGA